ACCTCAAAATGTATCCCATTTTGTACCCACCTCCTGAATTGTCTGTGTACACAGGCAATTCATTTGAAAGAGGGGAGGACTTTCTATCCAAATGTCTGTGTACACATACTGTGTACAAATTTGGATACAAATTGGGGTACGAAGTACGAAGTAACTTTATTTTGAAAAAGCTCCCTTCGATACGCCCTTAGATACATAGGTCAAAGGCTTTACTGACAAAAAATCTAATGAGTTCAAATCAAATATAGGCTAATGAGTACCTGAGGATGGTGCATGGTAGGAGGTTGAGGCTGTGAATCAGCTATTGCAGCCAGATACATTAGGTTTCGTTGAAGCCTTGCTTGGTTTCTGACACAAAATAAGTGGTTTTAGACCATGCCAAAATCTCATTTACCCATGCTAACTACAAAAACAATTTAGGGGATGTTTGAAAATGAGTATGCTACTTTTTTAAGGAAAAAGCCAGTTATTTTCTCCTAGCTTCTAAAAAATCTGATTCTAGAATAAATTAAGGCATCAGAAGCACTCACTTATGCTTTTGCTCCCTAAAGGAGCAGAAGCAGTTTTAAGAATCAAATCCAAACACCCCTTATTACTCTTATAATCCTCCAAATGTAATTCTCTAAATAGCATTTGCATGTGAATTAGGATATGAGTAGTAAAAATTGTGTAAGTTGTACCAAGAAAGGAGAAAGATGTACTTTTTGTTCTGAATCACATTTTTTTGCCAAACAAGGAAAAAATGAATTATTTTTTAATGGATGAAAAGGAAAACTGCAAGAATAATACAGGAAAAAAGGACTATATTGCTCATCACATTTCTATAGATCCAAAATATAGGCAAAGAATGGTTTCACAATTAATTTAATTAATACTGTAATTCTTGTGTCTCAAAAATCAAAATAGGTTACTTGTTTCGTTTACCACACTTATAAATTTATACGGAGTAGAATAAATTGGGATTGAAGATTATTGAGCAGCAAGAAAAACAATACTACGTATGAGCAACCCAGATCATGTTCTTGCTATGAAAGATACGAATATTAAAAAAAAACATATTAGAAAAAAGGGAAATTGTTTTGAACCATTCAGTTAGCTGCAAACTAATCTGGGTATATATTGTTAGCTAGAAAATAAATAAATAAAAAATGAAACAATACCCGTACTATATAATATATATATACAATTAATCAGAATCTAATAAAAAGCTAGCTAAGGGTTTTCTGGGGGTGCTAAAATGGCATTCCTGTAATTCCAGAAGGCATTAAATTATTTTTCAGACATTGAAAAATTAAATGCATCATTAAATATTACAAACAGGTTATTTCTAACCACAAAAGACTCAAAAACAAAGATAGATTCTTCCCGAAAGTATTTTTTAAAAAGAAAAAAAGGAACATACTCAGCACACTCGTTGAGTTTACCGGAGTTTTGGCTCTCAACAATCTTCAGAATCAATGATTTGTTCTCATCCAAATACTGCCCATAACAAGGAAAAGTAAAACTTCAACAGCTCATCAACAAATATATACAGTTAAATATAAACCAAGAACAAGTTTTATTTAATTTTGTTGAACAGATATTTTCTTCATACAAAGGTTAATCCCTAGGGGGAAAAAAAAAAGAAAGCAAGAAAATTCAAAAGATTGAATCTTTTGTGTATATTGAGTAGCTAGGGTAGCTGCCCATGATCGGAATAGGCAAAGAAAGACAAAATCTAGAGGAGGGCAGATTAAAAGCACTTTCTTCCAGCAAGAAAACATGGAAATAAAATAAAATAAAAAGTACAAGATAACACAAACACTGCATAGCAGAAAAAGATCAGAGAATCATACCATGATGATGGTGATGATGAGATGAAGAAATAAAATAAAATAAATTAAGTAAAAGGGTTTGTAGGTGGGAAGAAATTGAATTGCAGAAGCTACCTGTTGGATGTGGTCAGTGGTGACCGTGGTGGTGGGATAGTAAGCTGCCATCATGGTCTGCTTCTGCATCAGGTGCTCTGCTGCATAACCCTCCTCTTTTATACCCCACAACCCCTCTCCTCACATATCGTTCCTCTCTTTATTTATTTATTTATTTATTTATTTATTTATTTATTTATTTATTTATTTATTTATTTATTTATTTATTTATTTATTTATTTATTTATTTATTTATTTATTTATTTGTGTATGGGTGTAAACGGTAAAGATTTTGATTTGCAAAGTAATTAATTATAAAATGAATTACCTAAATAGGATTAAAAAATGACCAAAAACACAAATAGGATTGCATTTTTTATTGATTTTGATTTTGATTTTGATTTGCACAACTAAATAGGATTAGTTGTGCCTGCAGATTTTTCTGTGGAGATGGATGAAAGATGGTGAGAGTTGTGTGGTACGGTACTAAAGAAAATTTTCAAACGAGAACAATCCAAACAGATTTGGATTAAAGAAATAAGAACTGATATGTGTCTTCTTAGGTTGGATGAGTGATAGCCGTTATATTTACTTATGTTTAACATAAGTGTTTATAAGTATTTTTTGAAGAAAAGAAGAAAAATCGGACAAATACCTTCAGAATGAGAGCTGAAGCATACAACATTGTAATGAACGGCTTTTAGGACCAAGAGGATGACGTTCTGCCCATAATTTGAGTATGACTTATTGTAGAGAACTCGAAATCACTCGATTCGAATTTCATGTGAATGATAACTCAATAAGGGACAAATGCTATGAAGACGTCATGGACAAAATATGAAAGGAACATGAGTCACATGACTCAATCAACCAATAAAGTAAAATGTTGCCGGTGGGATTTCTGGATGCATACCTCTCAGTGTTTTATCCATATCTTTTGATTGGATGAATACAATCATGTCATTCAAGTTTTGGTGGATAGAAGACTTCATTATCTACAACTTTGGTGAAGGAATCATGTCTAAATTCGTAGCGGAACATCCCCAAAATCCTGGGACAAAAACGACACTTTTTGATCCATAAGAGAGGAAGAGAAAGGGAGTACATCTTTTGGCGCACCAACCGGCGCCAGTCATGTGGTAAAAGACTATTTATTTAAGTATCACCCTATGTTTGGGTCTTATACTTGAAACGCTAGTTATTCTATATTTAGCCTGCTACTCGCTCGGTACTTGTACTGACCCCTTCGGGGGGGCCACCATTTTCAGGTTGAAGCTAGGGCTTGCTACTTGCACCTTCTCACGGGTGATATCAAATCAGGAAGATGTGGTTCGTGCTTCCTTGTTTTCTTTCAAACTACCGAACACTTGCTCATGGATATTGTTTTACTATAAACTATTTTTGGGGCTTGCATGCCCATGTTGTTGGCCGGTTGTGGCTCATGACTTATCGTTGAATATTTCCGCTATTCGTTGGCTTAAATGTGATGTTGTTATGTATGTTTACTACTGAGTATGGGTGGATTATTTTCTCGAACGCCTTGTATAATTAAGTGAGGTTGACTCGCGGGTGACGTCACTCAATTATACGGCGGTTGTGCACGCACTTGGATTGCGGTCTGGGGCGTGACAACAAAGATAATTAAATAAACACTAACCATTTGTAGCAACAGGGAATCGGTATAAACAAATAAACACAAATCCTTTGTAACTTTATTCTTTATCTTTATTTCATAGGATGTGAAGAATGGAGACCACACCATTCTCAAAGGGAAACCATTTGATACAGTTGTTGCTATACAGTTTGAGATATCACAATGTTTAATTTAAAATTAAACTTTTCATTTTGTAGCCAAATGATCCATTTCTTTATTGGAAATTTAGAAATAAATGAATAAAAGTCATGGTTGTTGTAAGAAATCATTTTCACAAATTCGTTAAAGTAATCATAAAGCTATGGTAGATGAATTTATATTACTATGAATCTTATTTGCTATTGCTAATGAATACATATCGCTTTTGCACTACTATATTCATGAAAGCTGTAGAACCCAATGAAGATGAGAAGTAGAATATATGGCAAACAATGAGCAGATTTGAGACGTGAATAAGAGCAGCACAAAGCCAAATTTGATGTTAGATATCTTTTCGGCCAGAACCCTAAAGTGTGATAGAATGAAGCGATTTCTACTTTTTCTCAAAAACTTGTTAGATATACAAACAATTGTCCCACTTTCTTTGCAGGACAATCCAAGTTTCTCAAATGAAAGCTTAAGAAAAAATTTCAATCAGGATTAAGAAACTAAAAGCTTTAACTGAAGACATATCCAAGTAAAAAAGAATTTAAATTCTGAACTACAAGATCAAAAACTCTGGATGAAAATGTATCCAGGAATTTTAATCATGTTAAGATCGAACTTCATGTCACAATCAGAAGTGAATCAACGAATTATGCATGCAATGCATAAAATAATCACTTGAAAATTTGGATTTATGAAGAAATCAACGTTCAAGTAGCAAAAAATATGCATGCTTTTTGCCAAATCTTCTTCACCCCGGTTGGGGTTGGTGGGTGCAGGCAAACTGGTATGAGCGTGCGATTGAAGAAGAGGAGAAAACAACTTTCAATGGATAGGGACTCTATGAGAAGGTGTGAGCATGCGGCGACTGGAGAGAGAAAAAACTCAGGCTTACCGATGGAAAGAAACAATAAGTAATTGCGTGGAACTTACAGAAATACCCCCAGAAATTACCCTAAATAGGAGTTAAAACGTTTTGAAATTCCAAAATAGGAGTATCATGTTTTTTATTCCCTGAATAGGAGTAATCTGCCAAGTTTGGAAAAAAATGCCATGTTTAAAGCCTTGTAATTTCCAAACTTGGCAGAAATGTACTCCTATTTAGGGAATAAAAACATGATACTCCTATTTTGAAATTTCAAAACTTTTTTACTCCCTCTTTAGGGAATTCTCTCAAATACCCCTCAAAGATTAGGCGGCAAATGAACTTACTTGAGTTAATAGTTGATACTCCATCCGAGCTTACACATTTTGAATTACTCTATTTTTAATAAACCACAAGTTTTTTAAAGTCAACATTGGGCCTCGCGGCAAACCCTAATTTGTCCCTCCCTCTATCTCACCCAAATCAGTGTTTCGTACCGCGTTCGCGATCTCGCTCTCCCCCTCGCTACGATTCCAATAATGGCCACGTTTGGCGAAGAAACGAAGACGGCGACGGCCACCACACCTTCCGCCGCCTATGAAGCCGGAGGAGCGGGAGGAAAGTTTCGTAAGAAGCCGTTTCGGAGGGCGCAGGCAACGCCTTACGATCGCCCTCCCACTTCCCTTCGAAACCCTAGCTGGCTTTCGAAGCTCGTCGTTGACCCTGCCTCCAAGCTTATTAACGCTGGCGCCCGAAGATTTTTCGGCTCATTATTTCACAAGGCTCTACCTCCTCCTCCTGCACTCCCTGCTATCTCTGCTCTACAACTCCCAGGTTCTTGTTTCCTCACCATATATTCTTGCCTTTGCCGGTTAATACATTCGTGCACATTCTCTCCTATATGTGTACAAGCGTGATGGACTTGTTTGCACTTTTTTCATACTTGTATCTATTCATCACATTCATGTATTCCTGCACATAAGTGTGACTATATGGAAGGACCGGTTGGCTGTTTTGCTCTTTGCCGGGCTTCTGGAATTTCATCTGTTTTTGAAAAAGGAGTTGCTTTGATGTATTTATTTATATTAAAATACACACACACACTCCCTAGTAAATATTAATTAGCGTATAGTTGAGCCTAGAGGCAATAATGGAGTTAGGACTTAAGTAAGATTATTGCTGTCCTTCAGTTGACAAAGATTCAGAATAATGTCTTTATTTTCACACCATATAAAATGTAGTATTTTTCAAGTAAAAAATTAGATCTGAATATGCCAATAATTGTATACTCTTATGCATATAATTGAGCCTCTTATAGTTGAGCCTAGAGGCAATAATGGAGTTACGACTCACACATTAATATGTATTTGTATACTCTTAGCTGCATGCTTGCATCCGACCTTGTGGGGAAGTAAGAACCTAAAGTGAAAAAGAACAGGGAGGAAATATGATGGGTTCAGGCCTCATTATGGTAAGTTCAGAGGTTTTACAGTAGTCTACAATGGAGAAATTAGCAATTGGGGAGGATGCATTAGCATTAAAGAAAAAGAAGGTACAAAGGCAGTTAGAGAATGCCAGCTCCCAAGTCCCAAAGTCCAAGATGATACCGGCCTGCCCTATTCTAAAGAGCTGGCCCAAACTCAAGAACTAAAAGGCCCAAAACCCTCACTTGTAAACTAACACAAGCTTTATCATTCTACTAGTATTATTAGTCTTTATTGTCCAGGTCCCTACCATTACTCCCCCCTTTGATAACCATCTTGTCCTCAAGGTGGGTGATAGGAAACAACCCTGAACTTCGGCTTCGTCCTCATCCTTGCGTGGTTGCGCCTCTTCCTTCCCAGTACCTTCTAAATGCTGCACCATGAGCTTCAGTAGTGAGTCTGTGAGTCACCTTGTTTGAGAGCCCTTGTCCTCCAACAATATTTCATGTCTCTCAGCTTTCAACCTATCCCTTGAAGGATGCTCCTCCCTGAACAACTCATACAGAACTTCATCTGTACGCATATCAAATGAAGGCTCAAGTGGATTTGAGTCTTTATGCTGTGTTACTCCATCTTCCGCAGTTGTCTGTATGGATATGGTTGTCACCAGTCTTTTGAGCTGGTTCCACCTGAGTGATCCTTGATTAAAGACAACAAGTTCTCTCAATATTCTCCTTATGTCAGCACTGGGGTCTGATAAAAGCCTTCCAATAACACATGGGTATGCACTTTCTACCCATTTGAACTCAGGATCCAAATTTTTTGCAGTTCCTTCTAGTAGAGCTCGTATCACCAAGGCATTGTCGGGATGAAGAGAGCAGTTGAACTCGTACGTAACCACATATAACTGATTCATTATAAACTGGAAATCCTGGGATTGTCTTCTGCCATCACCAATTGATGTTTGCAGGGAATCTGCAACTGATCTTAGATTAGCTCCTTCAGGAATGAAACCCAGAGAGAGGAGAAATTCTTTGCTAAACTCCTTGAAATTGTAGCTTCATAATCTCCGGTAGCTACCCTTTCTAAATAAGCTTGAAGCATGGGAGCTTTCAACTCCACATCTCTTGGCCATTTCAACTTCTGAAACAAACTATCTTCCTTCTTAGCGTTGAACAATTCCTTCTCTTTTCAAGATGCTGACTCATTTTCACCTCTAGGACATCCCCGTGCATCACACCATATACATCTTGCATGGCCTTAGCGGCACCTTTTTCCCGCTTCTATAAATTCTCTTCTTTTAATAAGAGGTGTTCCGGCGTTAACTGGTAGTTCATGGGTTGCACACCTCCAACTCCATACTCAATAGGTGGATGGTGAGAACTCCACAGATTTAGAAGTACAGTAAACACCTTTGAAAATAAAGAATGAGCTGTATCTTTCTCTGAATGCATTGGCGGAAACCTGATCATACTACCGGTGCTGTTATCCATTAAAATAAGGTGTTCATCTCTGGTCCAGAACAAAGTAAATCCTTCCCCACTTTCGTATGAGGTTCCACCTTCCGGGTTCCCCGTGTTTTGATTAATACTCGAAGGTGCCTTAACAGAAAGAGAGCTTTCCGGAGATCTTGAGCTAGAGAGACCAGCACCACTTGGAGGAAGGGAAACTTCAGTTTTTGTTTCAGTGATCCAGTGAAATCTTGTTTCCTCTGAGCCAGAGCTGCTGCCATATCCAGGGAAAGTTCCCGAAATGAGACTAAAAAAGTTTGAAAATTCCAAAGTAGGACTGTCATATTTTTATTCCCAAAATAGGACTAGTTACTGTCAAATTTGGAAAATACTGCCATGTTTGAAGTCTGATACTGTCAAAACATGACAGTAATTAGTCCTATTTTGGTTATGAAAACATGAAAGTCCTATTTTGGAATTTCCAAACTTTTTTGGTCCCATTTTGGGTAATATCTCATCATGTAATTGTGAAATTGGACAGATTCGTTCCCAATGGCAACACTCAACGAATTGGTGTTGTTGCTGCACTAGTACTAATGCTCTCCATGCCCTTTACCTCAGATACGGTAGCCAACATAAGTGATAAAACTCGGTACATGACCTTCACCTCAGATAAGATATCACAGGCAGCAAAATGTTTATAGAATGTGTTGACTTCTACATGAGGATTGATGTGGACCAAACTGACAGATGCTTTCTCTGAGGGACCGTTCAGCATTTCAAAAGGTTGTAGAAGAAATGAAGCATCTGGATGCTCGTGCTCATGAGTTATCTGTGACATTGCAATTAAGTGATCCTGCATTAATCCTTCGGTCAGAGGCTGTGTTAACTGATAATCCTGAAACACTTTTACTTCTCTATGGTGGCTAAACTACATCACTGCCATAGTGTCATCCATGTGTATACCAGCTTCTTTAAAGTTTACTCCTAAAATCAGTGCCCTGTCTCTTAATTCTGCCAGAACCTCGGAATGCAATGGTTTCAACTCAACTCTAATCTCTTCCTTTAATCCATTCATGAATTCGTCTTTAAGCATCTTGGAATCCTTTAATCTCATAGAGGCTACCACCAATGCATATCTCTCTTCATCGGATGCCTTTCTGTTCAAGTATTTTTTGAGAATTTGGAATTGGCATGGACATATTTTCATTTCCAGGCTTGTCAATAATCAATATACCGGTGTTAATATTGTTCTCAGGGACCAGGTGATAATCACACTTTGATATATGCAGAGTAATCTCCTTTCTTGGGCGGATATGATTTCTGTTAATGGACATATCCTCCTCATATGATGTAGCCTGCGAACTGAGGGTTTCTCCTCTGTCTTGCGACGTACTAGGGCTCACATAGGGATGTCGATGTGATTTGGAGTCTCCACCTGATCATGTCACACTCTGTGAACTGATAGCGACAGAATCTGCGAACAAGGAAACCTGCGAGCAGACAGAATCTGCTAGCAATGAAGATGAAAAGTCCTGTGAACAAGGAAAAGCTGTTCATGATTTCGAACTGGAAGAAGTTGTTCGTGATGACGATCTTAACAGTGGCTAGCAACGGATTCACGCTGAGAAGGTTGAGAGCGGCTAGCGATGACGAGTTATGAGAGTCGGCGAGTGAGGAAGCTCTCGATCTCGTCTCAATATGACACAAACTGATAGCAGATTTCGTCCGCGACTGAGAACTGTGAGATAATTTGCGCGCCTGCAAACTGGAAACATTGGCTAACAATGAGGATTTTCAAGTGGTCGATGACGTCTAGGAGGGCTCCTCGGCCTCTAGGTCGCCCGCGACTCCGCTTTTTGATGATAGTCTGCGGATCGTTGATCATTTCTCGCATGTCTCGCCTATTTTTCGATTCCACTCAATTTCTCTCTCTCTCTCTCTCTCTCTCTCTCCAGGATCGGTGCTCTGATACCAATGATAGGTTCAGGCCTAATTATGGTACGTTCAGAGGTTTTACAGTAGACTATAATGGAGAAATAAGCAATTGGGGAAGATGAATTAATAGTAAAGAAAGAGATGGTACAAAGGCAGTTAGAGAATGCCAGCTCCCAAGTCCCAATGTCCAAGATAATACTGGCCTGCCCTATTCTATCTTCCCCCCCCCCCCCCCCCCCTTTTATAATATTCCTATCCTAAAGAGCTGGCCCTAACTCAAGAACTCAAGGGCCCAAAATCCATATGTTTCCCACTCTCCCCTATAGACACTTCCTTCTTGGAGTCATCCTAGAATTTGTAGTTTAGTTAATTGTAAAGTGGTATTAAACTAATGCCTTAAGTAAATATGGTCCCATCCTCTACTTGAGTTAGGATCACTTATTGCAGTGATTTTATAATTGTGGACATCGACTTAAAATCTACCACTTTTGGTCCATTGACTTTTGAAGAATTGTATACCAAGATCAATCCCAAATATTCTCAAATGGAGAAGGGTTATTTATGCACTAAAACTGGTACATTTAATATGTATTTGTACCCTTGCTACAAAGAACTGTTCAAGTTGATAGTTGAGGACCAAAAGTGGCAATGTGTCAAATTACCATTTTCCATTCTTATAGTTGGACCTGTTTTTTTGTCAACAGAGACACAACAAGATTCAAGGAATGTCCATCAGGCCTCAGGTCCAAATGTGAGTCTGATTACACATAACTACTCCTGCAAAACATAAGTAATTGTTGATTTTATTCATTTTGTAGTTTATTGCTTTAAGAGAAGGAAGCATAAGCTTTCTCCACCTTATGTGGGTTTTGATATGTATCTGTAGCCCAAAGTTCAATGGGTCTTTTAGTGTACTATTTGTCTAGGGGAATGTGGCTTACAAAGTTTGATATAGCTACAAGCTCTAGTACTTGTGCCTGATCATCTAATTCATTTTTTGTGTTCCTGGGGAGGGGGTAATTCTCTTATTCCTATTACTCTTTGTCTTTGATGCAAGTAATGAAATAACTGGGAATGCATATTTGGTGTGAAGTACAATACAGGGTCATGCGAAATATTTGCAATTTAGCTGTTTAGATTGGTGTTCAAATTGGTTAGAACTTTAGAAGGCTTTTAAGCATTGGGCTCTTGTCATTTGTAATGAACTTGCTGATGACCATATTGGTAGGCTAAGTAGGTGGAAACATTTTTATGTCCCTATCACTTCATTTGAGACTGGCAGCCTACAGTGTACAGTCCATCAGAAGTACTTTATTTCTTCATTGATTTCTATGATTTTGAGGATATAATTTGTTTTCTGTTGTCCTGGTTGAAGAGTCATGATGGAGTTCTCAATCACGAAATACAAAAACGTGTGGATGCTGCTAATAATGTGGAGGGCAGTGCATTCTCTGAACTTGAACAATTGTTGAAACAGAAAACTTTCAGCAGGTGAACCGTCTTCTGCTTTACAATCCCTAGGATTTTATGTTTCTGAAGTAGAGATTCTAAATTCTAATCGATAGCAGTGACGCTGATCCAGCTACATCCCTTTGACCTAGTTACTCTAGCTATGTGCTTTGTACACATTGCATTATGATAACTTTATCCTCATCCTGATTTTCTCATTTTCTTACTGCTGGAGGAGAACTTGTGTTCGTCCTATTTATCTTTGTTCCTAGAGCCTGTCTTTGTGTTTGGATTCATAATGTATTTTAACACATTAATTTTGTTGTTGTTATGATTAGTTTCTTTGATCTTGATGTGTATCTATTTCATCTTTGCATGTATATGCTTGCCAATAACATGCAACACTGATTATGCAGATATGAAATTGATCGATTGACAGAATTATTGCATTCAAAGGCTGCGGATTCTCCTCATGAGGATTCTGGCAATGGAATTGGTGTTTCTAAATCAGCTTCAGATGCCTCAAAAGGACTACTGGGAGATAATAAGCCTGAGAGGGTAGTTCCTCATGGAGTTGCTTCATCTTCTATGATCAGCAAAAAAGTGAGTTCTTTCACACTTGGTTTTCGTAATACTTTGATAGATGTATTCTGCCAATTGTGAATCCAATATGATTGATGGTATCAGATACATGACGATGATGTTGCATCTCCTGCTGAGCTTGCAAAGACTTATATGGGCTCTAGGCAGTCTCAGGTCTCACCGTCTGTGCTCAGTTATCGCAGTCAAACAGTGAGAGAAGTGGTGCCATTTGTTTCACAATCACCCACCTCATCATTTACAAAAAGGCCCAGGGTTACTGATAATGGTTTTGCCACTCCAAAATCTCTTGGTAGATCTGCATTATACAATATGGCGCGTACACCATATTCCAGATTACGGCCAACTGATTTTCACAAGGTTCTCTTATATTTTTTGGAAGTTGATACAATTGTTTATTTGATTCAGCATTCACTATACCCTTCTTATATTCTAGGGTGGGAGCTCTACTCATAACTACCTAAATGCTGGGCCTTCATCGTCTACGCTGGAGCATGAAGACATGTATGGATCTAAACAACTGGTAATGTACTAACTTGTGAAGACTTCTACTCCATGCTATACCATAGCATACATTTTACTAACTATTACTATTATTTTAACGCTTCTCTTCTTTATCTCTTCTTTTTCTCAGTCCCTGAAACGAAGGAGCTCTGTATTAGATGGTGATGATCTTGGATCGATTGGACCCATTCGCAGAATTAGGCAGAAATCTAATCTTTCTTATAATAATTATAGCAATAATAGTGGTAGTTCCCTTCATACCCGGGGAACTGGAGCTATTTCTGCTGTTGCTAAAAACCATCAATTGTCAACCAGAACTCTAGAAAAAAACAAGGACACCGCAACTCCTAGCACAAGTCGTTTTATTGTACCTACTAAGTCAAGTGAGACAGCTGCAAAGATATTGGAAGTTATTAATAAACTTTCTCCGAGGGAGAAGGCATCTGAATCCAAGCGTACTGCAATGAAAGATCATAAATTTCCCACTCAACTGACAAAAGATATGCTTCATGGACAAGCTCTTAGAAGCTTAGAGCCTCTGGATTCTTCAAGGTTACTTCAGACTGCCCAAATTATGGCTGCAACTGATAGTCAAGCCAAGCCGATTATACCTGATGGTGATAACTCTACCTTGCCAAAGCTGCGCAGTGTAGAAGAAAACCAGCCAGAAAAGTATGTTGACACTCTAAGCCATGTAGCTAGAAGCAACATGACATTTTCTGAAAGAGATGTTACAGTAGATGCAGATTTGGTTTGTCCAATGCCTATAGTTCCTTCACCTCCTCAGGAGAAACGCGCTTTTAAAATGAATGCATTTGAGGTTGGTGTTTTTGATATATGCAAAGCATGACCTCTTTGTAGGATGTAGTATAATCTATTACACAGCATATCATGTGATGAGCTCTTATATCATGAAAAAAAATGTGCAGGATTCTTATGAGATGAATGATGACCAAGTATCATCCGGCTTTGCATCGAACCCTTTTCTTGAGGGTAATGCGAAGCAGGAGATGGCTCATAGTAATAGCAAGTCAGATTCCCCTGAAGCACAATTTCAACATAAAACTGCATCTCTTCCAGAACATAATACGCCACATGGGGTTTCAAGCAAAAAGATCCATGAGGAGAATCCCCGTAATGATACTGCTGGTATAGGCTGCACTGATTTCTCTACCAGTGCAGATGTTCATACTGCTAAGCCAAAGAATGCATTTGGTACTGCGACCGAAGGGTCCAATTTGACATTGCATGGATCGGAATTGGAAATCTTGAGCAGGTAAGGTTACATTTATGATATTTTTTGTGCGTTTTCTCATTAGAAAACACATAAGACACACTTAGTCACACCACAATTTTATGCAAGGAATAGTACGTTTTACGGGTCGTAATTTATAAATTAAGCTTTACTCTAGAGACTGTTGAATCTACTAGTAGAAACAAAATCTTATCTTGCTTTTTACCACTCTGGTACAAATTCAATCTGTCAAATTATAAATTAATGATGATAACTGAACATAGAGTCTTAGTTTCCTTATGTAATCACAATTGATCCTGTAATAGGAACAGGATAAGAAAGATTGTTTTGTGCGAAAAGCATCTGACTTTAAAAAGTGAAATTCCACCATGTCATGTATCTAATAGCGTGCTGCTGTTTTGCAGCCCAAATAACTATACTTCTGATGCAACTTCTATGTCTTCAAAACTTCCTGGGGGTGATAAATCACTAAAGATTGGCATCAATGGCAAATTAGACTCATCCTATGTTGCATCAACATCAACAATTGCCACAAATTCTCTGTTTGCTACTCCTTCCAACAACTTAAGTAATGGAAAAGTGTTTTCTTCTGTATTGGCTGCGAATGACTCTGAAAGCAATGCGATTACCAGTGTTTCAGACCAGACTGCCCCTTCTATGAGTGCTTCTGCAGCAACCAATGTCGCAACGACCTCTTCAGTTTTTGGGTTTGTTGGTTCTTCTGTGTTGTCTGCAACAACCTTTTCAGCATCAACTTCTTGCAACACAGAAAACCCAGATTTGAAAGCGATATCAGATAAAGTTGAGAATGGTGGTAGCGGCATTGAAAACCTGAAGAGTTCAACAAGTTTTTCAGGCATGTCAGGTGCCACTAATACAAATAACATTTTCGGAACTGATACCTCAGCCAAACTGTCTATTACCGCCCAACCACAAGGTTCTTTTTTTAGCAGTGGAGGAGATTCTGTTGCTAGTGCAAAGTTCTTGCCGGGATCTGGGGATTCTAGTAGTGCTCCACAGACAATATCCTCTCAGTTTGGTTCACCCAAACCATCTGAAGGGTTTGGTAATCCAGCAGGGGTTAATACATCATTCAGCTCATTTACATCCATTGCTCCTGCTGACTCTAAGCCATTTGGATCTGGGCCAACTGCAGCAGAGAGCAATAAGGTGGTACCTAACAGTATTTCTTCCTCCATATTTGCCTTTGGTAATACAAGCAATGGAGTTACTTGTTCTACACCCAGTTTCGGGGTGAGCTCTGTATCCACAGCTCCAGAGACTCTCAGTGGTACCATACCTCCATCTTCCAGTAATCCGGCCTCCACAACCTCTAGTCATGGTAGTGGTACTGTGGTTTCCACTTCATCTACTACCGCACCTGCGATGTTCAGTTTCAGTGCCAGTTCTGTGTCTCCTTCCACCACTGCTGGGGTGTTCAGTTTTGGCGGGAATTCCACACCTTCCTTCCCCAGCACCACAACTCCTCCGACAGTCTTCGGTTTTGGTGGCAGTTCTGCAGCATCGTCCAGCACCTCCAGCACTCCTGGAATTTTCAGTTTCGGCAGCAGTTCAGCTGTGTCCTCTTCAGGCACTACCGCTCCTACAGTTTTCAGTTTTGGCAGCAGTTCCACACCTTCCTCCTCCAGCAATACCACTCAAGCAGTGTTTAGTTTTGGCGGCAACTCTGCAGCGTCCTCCAGCAACAGCACTCCAGCACTGTTTGGGTTTGGTGGTGGTTCTGGATCTTCCTCTTCGAGCTCCACAACCACCACTACGTCTAGTGTGTTTGGTTTGGGTGGCAATTCTGGTGCTTTCTCTTCAGGAAGCAGTGCTAGTCCTGGTGGTGTATTCAGTTTTGCTGCCACTTCTGCAAATAATCCAACTTCTACTGGAACATTCAATTTTGGTGCCACCTCTCCATCTGCAGCATCATTTGGTTCTTCCCCATCATCTATCAGCTTCACAACCTTTGGTGCCTCGTCATCTACTTTTTCTACACCTAAGACTGTACCAAGTCTTTTTGGATCATCCCCTGCATCGGCTGCCTCAGGTAGTCTCCCTGTGTTTGGATTTGGAGCGGCTTCTTCTGCTACCCCTTCACAGTCTGTATTTGGAAATTCCACCCCCTCTTTCACAGCTTCTCCCAATGATCAAATGACGATGGAGGACACCATGGCTGAGGATCATTTGCAATCAGGGTCCACACCGGCACCAGTTTCGGTATTTGGTCAACCTCCCTCTAATTCTCCTGTCCCCATTAGTCCATTTGTGTTTGGCACACCCAATCCGTCTCCCAACCCTTTTCAGTTTGGGGGTCTGCAGAATCAAGGAGCTCCAACACAGAATCCACCCCCCTTCCAGGCATCAGGGAGCTTAGAGTTCAACGGTGGTGGTGGCAGCTTCTCATTAGGCAGCAGTGGACCTTCTGACAAATCTGGTCGTAGGATAGTGAAAGTTAACAGGAGCAAGAACAGAAAGAAGTGAAAATGAGCAGTAATGATAAAAGTCCTCCAAGACTATGATTGCTTTTGTCGACAAGAGTTTCAATCGAATCGTTGTCAGGTATCTATCCTTGTAACTCTCTATTTTTTTGTTTAAATAGCAAAAGCAGCAGTATGTAGGTGTAGTAGATGTAACCATTTTTGCGTTAAATGCCATTTTGTGAACAATACACAAGAGGAAAGGCTGTTGTATGAGTTGGTTGTAATACATTTGGATTCTCTCATGTCAAATGTGTACCCATTTCAGTCTTTGCTACTATATCATTACATGTAAGCATAAAATAAAGAAGTATATTGCTTTGTTTGTTTCTTTGTTTTTTTGCTCCCCCCTTGAGCTTGTCCACCACTATTAAACCCGATGCTGATTTGGATTCTCTGGGCGTCTGATGAGTGATATGATTGTAGGTGTCATTGTCAGTTTTGGTCCTGACCGGTCTTTGGAAAATATGGAGGCCCAGGACCTCTATTTCCAGTTCGGGTTGGTCCCGGTCTCATTTTTTTTGTATACTTTTAAACCCTCTATTCCTTTCACCTTTCTCTGCTCCTTTCAAGCTTTTAAATGAACTTAAATTCTTATAAAATGCTTTCAAATAGTTTCAAACTTTCAAAAACTTTCAAACTTATAAAATGCAAAAAAAGAATAAAAACAAGGACTGGAATTATGGGTGGACTCGGCCCGGTTCGGGCCCGGTTTGGGACTGGGCCCGGCCGGGCCTCGGTTCAGGAATGGGAGGCCCAGAACCGGCCCGGGTAACCCTGGGTCCGGGCCGGGCCGCTTTTTTTTTTGGCTTTTACCAATTAACCCCCAACCCTCCCCTCTCACCCCCAAACCACCTCAAATGGCCCAAAATACCCAGCCCAACCCAAAAGCTTAAAAAAAAAAAAAAAAATTACTTTGGCCCGGACTGGGCCCGAACCGGCCGGGCCGGTTCACCAATCCTAGGGCCCGAGCCCGAACCGCATTCCTACCGGACCGGGTCGACCCGAACCGCCCCCGGACTGGTTCCCGGGTCAAACAGTAACCGGGCCGGCCGGTTCAAACAGTAACCGGGCCGGTTCCGGGCCGGGCCGCCAGGCCTGAGTCCACCCTAACTGGAATTGTTCCTGTTCCCTATATACTATATGCATGGATGAAAATCCTAGGTAAAAGTGGTTTGTTGGCATTGTCATTTGACTCATTTCAACTTATTTTAATCTTCCAAACCGTATCAACCACTGTTGTAAGTTCATTTTGATGCGAGGAATACATGAGCCCTAAAACTTTCTTTAAAAATTGGCAAAAAACTTGAGAAAGTGCAAAATGAAGCGCGTGACTTGTTTAGTTGTTTAGAGACAGATGTGGTAAAAATAATGTACTACGAAGTCTATGAAACACCAAAAGTCCAAAAAATGAACAATTTGATTTGAAATGAATTTCAGTATATTACGGAGTAACCTCTACCAAATATTTCAAAGTTACGTGTTTTAAAGTACGCTTATCCTCTACTCATGGACCCGGGCTGGGCCTAGGCTCGGTCGGGCCTCGGGTTTTTTGGAGAAGGCCCGGGACTGGCCCGGGACTGGCCCAGGTAGCCACAGGGTCTGGTCCGGGTCCGGGCCAGGCCGTGCCGGGCCTCGGGTCAATTTTTTTCCTTTTCCTAATTAACCCCCCACCCCCAACCCCCCAAACCACCCCAAATAGCCCAAAATACCAACCCAGCCAAAAATACGCTAAAAAGATATATTTAACGTGTATATATCTGCTACAAAATCAGGAGTGCTTTACTATTGAATATAACTATATAAGGAATCAAGGATGTTTTTTACATGGATTGAAATTTTCTGGTCTCGTCTTAAATGTCTGTTATCTGTATATTTTATAATTATCCAGTTCTGATCTAATTTGGTCTGGTCTTGGGACTGCAAACAACCCGAATAAAAACATCTTCATTCATAGTAGCCTACTATGATACTATCCTTACCCCGGATTGCTTCAAAAGGGAAAGTGAAGAGGTGAGCAGGTTAGGAGAGGCAGGACTTTGACAAAGCCCTCTTCTAAAGGAACGGTTTATTTCAGAAGTCATCTACCTTCCCTTTCTCCAATCAAATACACAGTTTCCTCTCCGTAGCTTCAAAATCTTCCAACCAAGTAGAGTTCTCACTTCTCAGTTTTTTCATGCGGATCAAACAAAATATTGTAATAAACAATAAAAATGATGAAATAATTATACCGACAATTCATAAGCAGGGGCGAAGCCAGGAGGTGAGGATAGGGGGGCAAAATGCTATTACATAATAAACTCCTTCTCTTTAAGTTTATTATTACCTCAATTTTTCTTATAATTCTTTTATATTAGACACTTTAAAACTAATATCTTCAATACTGCTCCATAATATATTATCATAATCTAGTATTCCGTATAGTATAACTACTTCTCCAAAGTATAGTATTATAGATTTAATATTTTCCAAATAATTACTCCTAAAGAATATAGTGCTTTTATAGATATGATATTTCAATGAAGTATTGAAAAATTATAAGTGTACTATAAACTATAAACATATATATTTTGAGAGAAAACTTCATGTCAGGCCGGCCTGACGGGCTGCCCCATCCGGCCGAGCCCGTTTGGGCACCTTCCCGGTGGAATTTTTTGATGAAATTTTTTGAGCATGTTTCTCATCAAGTCTAGTTTGTCCATACCAAATTTCAGCTCAAAATTCGATCGGGAAGGTCGTCAAATGATTTTTGCAAGTTAACTGGTCCGGAATATGTATTTTCCGGACCAGTTAACTTGCAAAAATCATTTGACGACCTTCCCGATCGAATTTTGAGCTGAAATTTGGTATGGACAAACTAGACTTGACGAGGAACATGCTCAAAAAGTTTCATCAAAAAATTCCACCGGGAAGGTGCCCAAACGGGCTCGGCCGGACGGGGCAGCCCGTCAGGCCGGCCTGACATGAAGAGCACTCTATATTTTGAACTACTACACTATTATAGAAACACAAAATTGGGAGGGAGGGGGGCAAAAAAAAAATTACAAGCCAATAACTAAAAAATATCAAAATCATGGGAGGGGCAAAGGCCCCCCTTGGTTTACACATAGCCCCGTCCCTGTTCATAAGTGTTTGGTACCTGAACTTTTTCATGGACTATTAGAGCATGCACCATATAATAACTTGTCTATTTGGGGTACTTCTTGGTGAGATTTTCTTATGAAATTTTGTGAGAATGGTTGTCACGAAGTGTAAATTATGTTCACAAAATTCCATCTTAGAATTTAATCTGGAAGACGGTGAAATAAATTATTACTCCGTAAAATATACTGTGTTTTTCATAAACATTTTGGCACGGTTTTTCAATAATTTATTTAACTCACTTCACAATTGAATTTTAAGCGGAAATTTATTTAACTCACTTCACTTCACTATGAACATGTTCACAAAATTTCATAAAACAATTTCACCAGGAAAAATCTTAAATAGACAAGTTCAGATGGGGCTCCTCGTCAGGACTACCTGACATGATTATTAAGTTTGACGGGCACATATTATGATAAAGTAAGAACTATGTGATCGATATTTGTGTAAAAGAGAGAGGAATGACAAGAACTATAAATTAGTTGATTAAAATAGAAAGTGACAAAATTTTTGGGATATCCCAAAAAGAAAGATGACAAAACTTCAAGGGACAGATGGAGTTATATACTCCCTCCATCCCCCTAAGTTTGGGACAGAGGGGTGTGGTGTGATTTTTAAGAAAAAGTGGAATTGTGTGGTTGGTATTGAATTGATAAAGTGTAAATAAAGTAAGAATGAATTCTAACCACTCAAATGTTACCAAACATGGTATGGGACAAACTTAGTGGGACGGACGAAAAAAGTAAAACGGGACAAACTTAAGGGGACGGAGGGAGTATTACATAGAAGGTAATGAATAAAAAATTGTGGTTCTATACGAAAAATCCAACGTTAAGAGTTGGTGATAAAAGAAAAACATGTCATTTGTTTTAAAATGATGTTTGTACCCTCTTACACCCACTTTTGTACCCACCTAATGTTCTAAAAGGCGCTAGGTGCTAGTCGGGCGTCAGCCTAGCGCCTAGACGGAGACTAGTCGGAAACAAAAAATTGCATATTTATCTATGTTTTTGCATAAATATGATAAATAATATTGTATTTGTGTGTGTATAAAATACACATACATTAACAAACATGAATGATAGAATTATCACATTTAACCGTACATAGTACGTGATATAATTTCATTATGTTATAAATATAAATAATAATAATATTTAGGTATATATACAAACATATATAGTTTTTATCTTAATTTACAATTTCATTTCTTTATATCCGTGGCTGAAGTTAATTTACTTATATAGATTAAAAAATAAAAATATAAAGTAAAGTAATGTTCAACGAAACTAGACGGCCTAGGCGGCTGATTATGCGCTCTGGGCGGGCAATTAGGCGCCATAGCGGGCGACTTATTCACCTAGAAGGCAAATCAATTAGTCGGGGCGCCTAGACGAAAATCGGGGCGCCTGGCCACCGCCTAGCGCCTAGGCGCGGACTAGTCGACGCCTAGAACGATTTTTAGAATAGAGTACTCACCTATGTTTGTGAAGTGTTTTTTTTTGTCTGTGAACTCCGGTTCATAGACAATATTTTGCACAAACAAAATATTGTCTGTCAAGCGGGTTCACAAAAAAAAACACTTCATAAACATGGTGGGTATAAGAGTGAGTACATGAAGCATTGCTGTTTATTTTATACACACGATAGAAAAGTTAGACACAAAATGAGATGTAAGGAGTATATATATACATATATATATATATACACACACTAGTATATACACACACAATATACTATATATATATATACTCCATCCGATTCAAAAACAAGTTCCAATTCGGTTTACGATGCTTGACTGACGATAAAACAACTAGATCCCTGTTCACACACGGATTATTTTTAATAAATAAAATTTACATATTAAGAAACTAAATTAAAATGCTACAAAGCCTGATCAAGAAAATTTCAATTTAATAAAAATTTGATATATATAATAAAAGATTAGGTGTGACTTAAGTTGACTAATGAATAATGAAGTGGAACTTGTTTTTGAATCGGAGGGAGTATGTATATATATGTATATGTATACTAGTATACTCCATACGATAGGATAAGATAAAGAACAAAAATCTGGGTTTTTATACAAAAAATACAACGTTTAAAGTTGCTGATAAAATTACTCCATAACTATTAAAAGAGGCCATCTTTTCAGTATGCAAAATAAAACTATGATCTATTCAAT